CTTAGGTACAGAGGACACCCTGCTACTGGCTCTCTTCCTGGTACCAGCAGGCAGTTTTGGGGGAGGTACAGAGCTTTTCCTAAATCCGGTGAGTTTCATTTCCTTTTAACAAAATAATGTTTACACCAAAGTGGCCCATCTTGGGGCAGTCCAGTCTTGGCCAGGTCCCTCCCTCCTCTGAAACTCCCCAAAGTTACACATGTCCAAAGTGGGGCTAGATGATCGTTCAGTTTGGTTGACACTCTCTGGCAATAGGCCAGTTTAGTTAGACTTATTTCAGGAGGGGTGGTGCAGGTGTGTTCTCAAAGTAAGGCCTGGGGTTCTAGAAATCAGCTATTAAAGAAGAGGCAATTCTATGGAAACAAGCAAAATCATGGTTCATGATATTATCGAAGTATAAAGCAGTTCCCAGGTTCTGAGGGTAGCAGGGGAGAAGACTTCTAGATGTCAAGCTCAAATATCCTCAGATAGAGGGACAGCAAGCTGTGACAATCTGACAGAATTTCCTGGTTTGTAGTTCAGATGTGTCCTCAGAACAACAGGGACAAAGACCATCTCTATGTGAGCTGCTCTGGGGGTTTTTCTGAAGTTTCCATCATGTTGTTGGTATTTACTTTTCAGGACTTCAGGGAAAATGCAGTTTGAGTCCAACTGAGAACATGGGAGAAAAATCGTAATGTTAGTTTTGAGATTTGTAGCCAGACATTGTAGGAAGCTAGAGAACATCAGGATCTAGTCCAGGTTTTCACGAACAGGATTAGAATCAAGTATTCACTCAGGTGTGTTATTGAAACATGTTTTTTCACTACAATCACCCTCATTTCTACTAAGTATAGCCAAATTAACATTAATTTGCTCACCAAGTAATTGTAGTTTCAAAATGAACTTGGTCTGATTATTTTCACAAGTGCTGCAAGAATGGCAATCGACCATGCAGGCTCTTTAAAACCTGTTTTGCTGGAACTTTTATAGGAAACCACTAGACTGAACATTTAACAGCCCGTCCAGGCCAGCAGCCAAGACGAAACGTGTGCCAGATACTTGTCATCAGACTTAACCTGGGGAAATTCTCTGTTTTTCAGGGACCCAAATATCCCATGTTTCCTGCACCTGCTAAGACATGACCCTCTTGAGTCACCTGGTAAAGCTGCTGGAACCTCTGTGAGCAGGTGGCCGGCTGATACTTCCAAGGGGCTGTATTGTCTCCATAAAGTCAATGTTAGTTCCTTAGGGCTGCCTGGTCATATCTGAGTATATACAGATACATATCTCTTTCAAATATGACCTTGTAGTCAGAGTCTTAGTAATGTAACCAATGTTTCCAATTATATCTTGTTACAAGGAAAACAGAACCTTATGAAACTTATGCTAATAAATATATTGCCATCAATGTATAAGAATGCTCCCTGATAGTTTCTGAGTTTTGAAGGGATCAGGTATGGAGAAAAAATAAATAGTTTCATTTGTTCACCAAGGTATATTTGGTTAAGTTCTTATACATCAGTTAGCTTAAGAGAAGTTTCCTTAAATCTGAAGGAAGAAAACATTTTTAAAAGTCACAATGTTTCAAACAAAAAGTCATAAAAATATAATTATTGTCCCCTGGACATTCAGTTTCATGTTATTCATTTTTTGTTCTGTTAGAATCCAGTTCTTCTATTAGTTCTGGCAATTTTTACCTTAGTTTTACTCTCTTAAAGGTATCAGAACCCTACATATTTTCAAAGTTCTGCCCATGAATATCCTTGAAGATGTAACACATTTGCAGTAGCATCGAAATAAGATGGGAAGCGTATGTGACAAGACTTGACAGCGGCCATGGCTACGGATAGCTTAGAGGTCATTACGATGCAATTGACAAGGAAATGTGTTATTCCCGTGACACGGAACACAAACATCTATCAAACACAAATACGGCAAGTTACATAGTTGTAAGCAAAATGTAGGATATTTTAAAATAAAAAAATGTATATTTTTCAATGCATCAAAGTCCTGATAAACATAGGAAATATTTTGGTAAAACAGAGTGCATATTTTCTAAGCAGATAATTTTAAAGGTGAATAAATACTTTTGTTTACCATTTTTATGTAAAAGCGCACCAAAATTCAAGAAAAATTTGAATTTTTAACCAAGGTAAAACAGAATTCTAATTTTGCATCCACATAATTTGATATTAAAGCTCACTTACTTAAATTTATCTTAATTTTAAGGAGTATTGACCACACATACAATTCCTTTCTAGGTTCCTTTCCCAAAAACCTACTACAACGTTCTCCTATTGTCTCTAGACCCCAGCATCACCCTCTCTGTGTCTCTCCCCCTTGCAGGGTCCTGGGCCCAGTCTGTGCTGACTCAGCCACCCTCCGTGTCTGGGGCCCTGGGCAAGAGGGTCACCATCTCCTGCACTGGAAGCAGCTCCAACCCCAGGGATTATGCGCTTTAGTAGCACTTTAGTGCCAACAGCTCTGAGGAGCAGCCACTAAACTCCGCATCTATGCTCATAATAATCATTGCGGGTCCCTGATCAATTCTCTGGCTCCAGGTCTGGCAACTCAGGGACCCTGATCATCCCTGGGCTTCAGGCTGAGGACACGGTGATTACTCCTGCCTGCCCTATGACACCGGACTCCATGCTCACACCGTGCTCCCGGGCTGTGGGGAAGCAACACAGACGTGCTGTCCATACAGCAACGGGGCTCCCCGTGCAGCCCTATTTCCTGGCCATGCCAACTGCTTGCTTGCTTTCTTTGGTACAACCTGGGGCCTGAGATCCATCTGAGGGAATTTGTCCACGAATTCATTTCACATTCTTTAAAATTTGTCCCTGAACCCTGTCCTTGACATCCACAGATTCTGTCATTTTCTCAAATTGAGCAAAAATTTCTGGGTATCATGGCAGGATGGCGGGTGGACAGAGTCCATCATGAGTTGGGGAAGAACCGGCAAAACACAGTCTAGCTACGTGCGAGTCCCGACACGTCGGGAACGTCCTATATGTGTCCTTTGCCAACAGCTCCCATGTATGGGGTCCCAAATCCGCAGCTATTATGATGTGAGTCCCTCTGGGGACCATGATCCTTTCCTTGCTTCCATGTCTTACAGCTCTGGCTCCCTGACCATCACTGGGCTGAGGTCTGAGGACAGTCAGCTCCTCATTGCCCCTCCTGGGACCACATCTCAGGCTGACACAGACTCCAGGCTTGTGGAAATTGGGACCAGAGCCCCTTTCTCATGGGCCAGGAGGGGAAGGCCCAGCGGCTGCTCAGGCTCTTCCCGTGGCTTCTGCTTCTGGTGCTTCTGCGGCCGCCATCATGGGGCCAAGTCCATGCAAGGGCATCTCCTGGGGGTGAGGGCTCCTCCTTGCCTCCTGTCCCCACCTTCACTCACAGCAGCCTCTCCATAGACAAAGGGTCTCCCAAGGACACAGAAAGGTCATCTCCCCCACAGGATCTCTACACTGAGGTTCATAGACCGGCGGTGGCAAGTCCAGGGTGCTCATTTCCTCCCTGAACTCTGAGGAATCCGGGGTCTGCATTCCTGATCATTTACTATGTCTACAAGTTTCCAGACCCATGTAATCCTATTAGTCTTCGATAAGAATTCTATTCTTTGTGCTCATTGGGCTGATATCTTGTGTCCCTGCTGCATAAACAGGAGAGTATTGAGGAATCCTACATTTGGGTCTTTTAGGATGACTCCCTTTTTATTCCCATCAATGCTGAGAGCTAACCAGTGATTTTTCTTGTTCACTTTCACTGTCTATTACTTGTAGAAAGACGTTAAATAATTATAGAGTTAAGGTCACTTATGCCTGTTCCTGGTCTTGTAGAAAGGTTCTCCCCCCTCACCACAGGAGCTACCTTCCTGTCTGGGGGACCTAGTTCTAGGTGTGTGGGAGAGTGTGTTACCATGCGTCAAATGTGTCTGTCTGTTTCTATTTTATGCAGTTTTTGTTAGGACTTTGCTTTCCATTTGTTCAAAGAGTCTGTCAAGATCTAGTGAGATAATGTGATTTTCATCTATTGCTTTATTAATAGGATATCTTATATAAAATAATTTTTTAGTATGGAATTCAACTTGTATGCCTGCAGTAAATCACACATGGTCATGGTGTATGAACATATGGATGTGAGTTT